ATCTATCTATCTATCTATCTATCTATCTATCTATCTATCTATCTATCTATCATCTATCTATCTTCCATTTAAATCCAAGTTAGTTAACATATAGTGTAATAATAACTTCAGGAATCGAATTTAGTGCGTCATCACTTGCACATAACACCCAGTGCGCATCCCAACAAGTGTCCTCCTTAATGCCCCTCACCCATCTAGCCCATCCCCCCACCCAAAACTCCTCCAGCACCCCTCAGTTTGTTCTCTGTATTTAAGACTCTCTTACGGTTTGTTCCCTTCCTTGTTTTTATGTTATTTTGCTTCCCTTCCCTTATGTTCATCTGTTGTTTCTTAAGTGTTCACTTATTTATTTTGAGAGAAAGAGAGTGAGCGATCAGGGGAGGTCGAGAGAGAGGGAGAGAGAGAGAATCCCAAACAGGCTCCATGCTGTCAGCGCAGAGCCCGCTGTGGGGCTCGAACCCATGAACCGTGAGATCATGACTTGAGCCGAAACCAAGAGTCGGGTGATTAACTGACTGAGCCACCCAGGCGCCCCTGTTCATCTGTTTTGTATCTTAAATTCCACATGTGAGTGAAATCATAGGATATGTGTCTTTCTCTGAGTGGCTTATTTCACTTAGCATAATACCCTCTAGTCCCATCCACGTTGCAAATGGGAAGATTTCATTCTTTTTGATGGCCGAGTACTATTCCATAGTATATCTTCTTTACCCATTCATCAGTTGATGGACATTTGGGCGCTTTCCATACTTTGGCTATTGTTGATAGTGCCGCTTTAAACATTGAGATGCATGTGACCCTTTGAATCAGCAGTCTTGTATCCTTTCGATAAATACCTGATAGTGCAATTGCTGGGTCGGAGTTTAGTTCCATTTTTAATTTTTTGAGGAACCTCCATACTGTTTTCCAGACTGGCTGCACCAGTTTGCATTCTCACCAGCAGTGCAAAATGGTTCCTCTTTCTCTGCATCCTCACCAACATCTGTTGTTGCCTGAGTTGTTAATTTTAGCCATTCTGACAGGTGTGGAGTGGTTTTGATCTGCATTTCCTTGATGATGAGAGATGTTGAGCATCTTTTCATGTGTCTGTTAGCCTTCTGGATGTCTTCTTGAGTGTCTGTTCATGTCTTTCGCCCATCTCTTCACTGGGTTATTTGGGTTTTTTTGGTGTTGAGGGTTTTTAAAATTTTTAATGTTTATTTTTGAGAGAGAGACAGAGACAGAGACAGAGAGAGACAGGGCATGAGTGGGGGAGGGGCAGAGAGAGGGAGACACAGGATCTGAAGCAGGCTCCAGGCCCTGAACTGTCAGCACAGAGCCTGATGTGGGGCTCTAACTCACCAACCATGAGATTATGACCTGAGCTAAAGTCGGCACTCAACCGATTGAGCCACCCAGGTGCCCTGGTGTTGAGGTTACTAAGTTCTTTATAGATTTTGTATACTAACCCTTTATCTGATATGCCATTTGCAAGTACCTTCTCCCATTCGGTCGGTGCCTTTTAGTTTTGCTGATTGTTTCCTTCACTGGGCAGAAGCTTTTTATCTAGATGAGGTCCGAACAGTTCATTTTTGCTTTTATTTCCCTTGCCTCTGGAGACGTGTCGAGTACGAAGTTGCTGGAGCTGAGGTCAAAGAGGTTGTTGCCTGTTTTTTTCTGTAGGATTTTGATGGCTTCCTTTCTTACCTGTAGATCTTTCACTCATTTTCAATTTATTTTTGTGTCTGGTGTAATTGGTCCAGGTTCATTCTTATGCATGTCACTGTCCAGTTTTCCCAACACCATTTGCTGAAGACACTGTCTTTTTTTTTTTTCATTGGATACTTTTTCCTGCTTCGTCAAAGATTCATTGGCCATACGTTTGTGGGTCCATTTCTGGGCTCTCCATTCTGTTCCACTGATCTGAGTGTTTTTGGGCCAGTACCATACTGTCTTGATGATTACAGCTTTGTAATACAGCTTGAAGCCTGGGATTGCGATCCCTCCAGCTTTGGTTTTCTTTTTCGGGATTGCTTTGGCTATTTGGGGTCTTTCTTGGTTCCATACAAATTTTAGGATTGTTTGTTCTAGCTCTGTGCAAAATGCTGGTGGTATTTTTGGTGTTATTTTGACAGGGATTGCTATGCCTAGATCCTTTAAATTAAAATCTCAGCTTGGGGCTCTAAATTCTCGTGGGCAAAATTTCCCTTCCCCCCCCCCACTTCTACCCAGGTCCAAGGTCAAAATAAACAATATCCTCACCTCTTTTGGTGGGGTATTTCTCTTTTTGATCACCAATTGTAGTAGTTTTCTGCTGCTGTGGTGTCAAATTGCCACAAAGTTAGTGGTTTTGAACAGCAAAACTGTATTATCTTACAGCTCTGGAGGTCAGAAATCCCAACGGAGACCTCACTGAGCTAAGCTCAAGGTGTCAGCAGGGCTGTGTTCCTTCAGGAGACGCGGGGGAAGAACCTGTTGTTGTTTTGCCTTTTCCGGCTTCCGAGGCCACCTGCATTCCTTGGCTTGCAGCCCCTTTGTCCGTTTTTGAAGCCAGCAGTGCAGCCTCTGTCCCGTGTCTCTGTGGCTCTGGCCCGTGTTTCCATGATCACATGTCTTGTCCCTCCCCTGCAGCCCTCTTTGCTTTATAAAGACGCATAGGATGGCGTTCGGGACCCCCCCCCCCCAGACATTCCAGGACAGCCTCCCCGTCTCAAGATCCATGACTTAATCACACCCGCAGCGTCCTTTTTGCCATGTGAGGTAACATACCCACAGGGGCCCGGGATTCGGATGGGGCCATCTTAGGGGGCTGGCATTCTGTGAACTGCGCTTACTGACAGCATTGCCCTTCAAGAGTACTGGCTTTATGTGGGGGCCCAGGCATCACCTCCTGGCTCCCACGGGTGGCGTCCGGGTAGCTATAGGGAGAGGGTGTCCGAGGGGGAGGGTGGCCTGGGTTCCTATTTCCTGGGTGTAGACGTTCCCAGGACAGGAGCTGATTCAGCAGCTATCTCACTCCTCCGGACTCAAGGGCCCTCGTTGTTTCTGACCTTAGAGCCTTTATCTTATTTTCCCACCAGTTCAGCCATTCATTCAAACGGGTTCAGGGGCTCTGGTGCAGGAGGGTTTGTGTGGACACACGGCCCCCACTGCGCACGAAGTCTTCACTATGGCTTCCTGCCCTGTCTCCGTGGCTGGGAGTCATGGCCTTGTCAGGAGCACTGCAGCGGTTCCAGAGCTGAGGCCAGGGAGCCGGGGAGGAGCCGGCCTCCTTTGTCACTTCAGGGGCCCAGCGGCCTCTGTGCGTTCTCCCGGCCTGCATCCTGGGCCTCTGCAGTCCGAGGACCAAACTCCACACTGTGTCAGCCACAGGGCCACGAATCTGCCCCATCCCTGCACAGCTCATGTCCTTCTGTGGTCCCCGTCGCCTCGCACTGAGGCTTGGCTCGGACTCCGCACCGTGTCTTGGGGCTCAGGTGCCAAACCCTGTGGTCACTGCTGGGTCCCCACTCCCCTGCCCTGCGCACAGCTCCGGGCACCCAGCACCATTGGGTCTGTTGTTTAGTGTCTTCCCTCTCTGCTCCGCCGGGAAGTCGGCTCTGACTGGCAGGCATCTTTGGCTCACTGCTGCGTCCCAGTCCCTAGTGGCACGTGGCCCAGAGCCGAGGCGCCATGGGTCGTGAGTGAATGGGCAGTTCGTCAGGAGGTTGGGCCAACAGGCTGAGTGGGTGCGAGATGGGAAATAACGCCATGGGGGTGGGGTGGCGCTCAAGTCCCCAACCAGCGCAGCAGCACCCAGCTGGGGGGGCATGACGCCTCCCTCCCCACCTTCCCTCAAACCCTGCAGGGTGCTCCGGAAGCAGCTCTCTCTCTCTGTTCAGTATCTTACATAAACTGTTTATTCAAGAACAATTCAAGAAAGCAACTGTGGTGTGGATTCCCAAGGGTGAGATGGACGGTGCCTCAGCCAGGACTCCCGGGCCCGGCGGGGAAGCAGGCTGCTGTGCGGGTGTGAGCACTGACACGTGGACACACGCGTGCGCGCCGCCCACGAAGGGTGCGCACCGCCATGAATGACTCTGTATATGCAGTTTGGCCCCTTCCCCGCCCCCCCTCCCCCAACCAACCGTGGCTATGTGGGACCCGCCGAAGCAAAATCCAGGCCTTCTTCTTCCCCTTCCCTGCCCCCAGCTCTTGCTCCGAGACCCCCATCTCCTGTGGCAGCACTTTGACCACCCTCACTCACAAAGAGCCCCACTGATCCCGTTAAGACATCTGGGGGAAGAGGGAAAAAAAGCATCTTTTCAAACGTCAAGTGGATAAACAGGGCGCCAGATGTATGGCCAGGAACCCGCTCGGCAGCTCCTGGGCCAGGGCCCTCCCCTGTGGTGCCCAGCAAGGAGCCGCCCAGAGAGGGGCTGTCCAGGGCACCTCCAAGCCCTCAGCCCCAGACGCCTAAACCTTTGGCAGCGAAGCAGGGAGGTGACTACACTGGTGGTGAACCCCTCCACATAAACCACCCTCTGGGGACAGGGATGGACTGGGAGCGGGTCCCTGCAGCGAATGAGTTGGCCAGGGCGGGCACACGCCCCTTCTGAAGGGGGAAGCCACAGGAAGGCTCCAGGCCCAGGAAGAGGCAGCCACTTGGAATGGTCCCTTGGAATGGGAATCCCCCCAACCCCACCCCCGAAAGAAAAAAAGTAACAGTCGCAGAAGAGGCAGGTTCTGGAGCGTGGTTCCGCCCCCGAAAGCGGCGCGGGTCAGGCTGGTGGCCCCGGGTCCTGCTTATAGGCACATTTAATCGGATTCCCGCGGATGGTTAAAGTGGGTAGGACAGGTCTCTCCCCGAGGCCACCCTGGAGGGGCTCCTGGCTCTGGCCTCTTCCCCACAGCCCTCCCATGAGGTATTGCGCTCTCCCCCTTCCCCAACTCCCTGCATCCCCCTTCTGCCTCCCCCCCAACCCCTCCCCGCCGCACATGGGTGGTCAGGGACACCCATGGGGCGGGGGTGGAGTGGGGCCCTATGTGGGGTCCAGCTCAAAGACACCATCGCTGGTGGGGGTGGTGAAGAAGGAGGGTGGGTCGGAGGCAGCAGACTCCTGCCCCCCGCTGCTGCGCTCGCGGGCGCGCCTCTCCTCCAGCCGCAGGCTCCGCTCGAAGTCCAGCAGCTGCCCCATGAAGTTGAAGTTGGGTGAGATGTTAGACTTCTTCCGTTTGACCAGGTCGTAGGCATCGTTGAGTGAGAGGTGGCGCTTCTGCATGAGGTAGGCCACGGTGACGGTGACAGAGCGGCTGACGCCTGCCAGGCAGTGAACGAGCACCCCGCAGTTCTGGGACAAGGCCTCATCTAGATGGGGGCAAAGTGGGGGTCAGTGTGATGTGCAGGCCCCGCTCCGCCCTCTGGGAGCCAGACGGCTCTGGCCAGGGTTGGCCTGGGAGCCCTGTCCTGCCTGACGGGTCCAGGGGCTTTCGCTGGTGGCCTCCGGGAGCCGGCGTCTGCACTGGCCGCCCCCAGAGGCGCTGTTCCAGTTTTGCTTTCTGCAGATGGCAGCTAAGTGCATCATGCGGCCCTCATAGGGGAGTGAGAGAGGCCAGGATCCAGGCTTGGGGAGGGCAGGGGGAGGGAGGAAGGTGGGGGGGGCTGGAGCAGACTCACCAATGAACGAGATGGCCTCAGGAAAAAACTGGGACAGGTTCTGGCTCCAGTGGTCTGAGATGGGGATCTGCTTGTAGTGAAACTCGCCGTTCTTCTCGAAGAGGTTAGGCAGGTTGGGGGTGACGTTGAGGATGTAGCGGATGCCCAGCTTGGCCAAGCTCTCCACGTTGGCCGAATCCCGGGCACTGCCCAGGTAGAGGTTGGGCAGGATCTGGACAGGGAAGGACGGCAGCAGCGCCCCTGGGGGCGGCGTGGCACCCTCTGAATCCAGGCCACAGCTCATGGAGTCGCGGTCAGGCTCGGATTCTGCATCAGAGTAGTCAGAGCCCAGGCACAGGCCACCCAGCCCCACCACTGGGCTGGGCGCTGGGGCCGTGCTTGGGCCACCACGGCTGCTGACGCTGGTCTCACACAGGTGGGGGCACTCGGCCTGGAATCTGCTGAAGCCACCTGGGAGGGGACAGGGGGACAGTCCTGTTGATCTGGCCATCTGGGCAGCCAAGCACCCCTGGCTGCGATATGGAAATGACCCGAGACGACTCCAACACCGGAGGGGGCTCGCACAGGTCCCCAGAGGGAACTCAAAACAGCAACGTGGGGTGCCTGGGTGGCTCAGCTGGTTAAGCGTCCGACTTCGGCTCAGGTCATGATGTCATGGTTCGATTCATGAGTTTGAGCCCCGTGTCACACTCTCTACTGTCACTGCAGAGCCTGCTTGGGATTCTCGGTTTCCCTCTCTCTCTGCTCCTCCGGCACTCGTGTGTGTGAGCGTGAGTGTGTGTGTGTGTGTGTGTGTGTGCGCGCGCGCGCACATGCTCTCTCTCTTTCTCTCAAAATGAATAAATAAACATTAAAAACAAAAGTCAGCAACCTGATCTATACTGGTGTCCCCGTGTGGCACAATATGGGTTGCCTGACCATGTTTGCTCAGCACTGTTGGCTATTCCTCCGGACAGCAAGTGCCCACTGCTGCTGGGGGTGCAAGATTCTGGGCCAGGCCGAGCCACCCACAGGGGATCTTACAGCCCTGGGGCCAGTGTGAGGCACGCATGAGGACTCAGCAGCCTAGATGTGCTGCCGGCGTTGGGGACGACAACCACTGTCATTTAAAGACACAAGGTTCAGGGGCACCTGGGTGGCTCAGCTGGTTAAGCGTCCGGCTTCGACTCTGGTCATGATCTCACAGTTCGTGGGTTTGAGCCCCGCGTTGGGCTCTGTGCTGACAGCCAGCTCAGGGCCTGGAGCCTGTTTCGGGTTCTGTGTCTCCCTCTCTCTCTGACCGTCCCCTGCTCACACACTCTCTCTCTCTCTCTCAGAAATAAATAAAAAAACATTAAAAAACAGATGAAAGGTTCAGGGGCGCCTGGGTGGCTCAGGTGGTTAAGCATCCGAATTCAGCTCAGGTCATGATCTCATGGTTTGTGAGTACGAGCTCCGCGTTGGGCTGTGTGCTGACAGCTCAGAGCCTGGAGCCTGCTTGGGATTCTGTGTCTCCCTCTCTCTCTGACCCTTCCCTGCTCACACTGTCTCTCTCTCTCTGTCAAAAAATAGATAAACATTTAAAAAAAAATTTTTAAAAGAGGGAAGGCTCAGATGTGAGTTATCTTCCTGGGTGCCCCCCTATCCAGCTTAACCAGGAGCACCCCAAGAGGCAGGAGCCTGGGAGAGAGCACATCATTCCAACGGGATCAGTTCCAAGTTCCAAGAAGCGAGCATCTCGTTCAAGTACAGGTAACTATTTTCCCCGGCTAGGTGTGGGGTGTGGACAGCCAACACTTGATAAGTTTCTGTATCCCCAGGCATTCAGAAAGGAGCAAGGGACGACAGTCCCATGACCTGCCTTGATGGGGAGGTGGGGAGCTGTAGGTTTGTGGGAACCCTGTCCCTACCCTGAGCTAACCGGCCTGTGTCAGCCTATCCCTCTCCACCCCCAGCCGTGACCGTGCTTCCTCCTGCCTTCATCGCTTCTCTTTCTCTCCCCAAGTCGGAGTCTCCCAGAGCGGGATTTGTCATCCTGTGGCCCCTGACTCCTTTGCCCACGGGGGTGGGGGGGGGGTGGGGGGGGCTGGTGATATCCTCCCTGGGAAATTGGGAGCCTGCACTTGGTACTCCATTTTCGAGCATCTTCTGAACCAGGGCGGGTCAGCCCGGTTCTCCCCATTTTCCAGACTCACAAACTGGGGCTCTCCACGGTGAAGGGCTTGCTCAGGGGACGGGGGACTGTCACCTCCACTCTAGGTAAAATACGGCAGGGCTTGCCCAAGGACAAATGAATTAGGAGTCCCCTTGGAAGCTGTGGCCCTGCCTGCCTCCAGGGGCCCAGGGTCCTTCCCAGGCCGGTTCCCCTGCGCCAGCGCCCGCACGTACCCTGTAGGTAGTATGCCAGGTAGCCTTCTTCTCGCAGCTTCTGGAGCAGGGTGCCCAGCACCGAATCGGCCTCCCACTCCTCGGCCTCCGCCTCCCCGCGCCGGTGCCGGCCCCCGCCCTGGTCGTACAGGAGCACCGGGGCGGGCGGGGGCGGCTGCAGCGGCGGCCCCGGCAGGAGCGCGCGAACCGACAGGCTCCCCCGCCGCAGGCGGCGCAGCAGCAGCGCCGGCAGGGCCACGCTCAGCGCCCCGCCGATGCGCGCCGACTCGTACAGCTCGCGGCTTCGGCAGTCAAGGAGCAGCAGCCGAGGCCGCGGGGGCGACAGCTCCCTGCGCAGCCACAGGCACGAACGGCCCAGACCCTCCATGGGCGCGCGGCTCCCGGCCCGTCCGACCGCTGGCGCTGCGGAGAGAGGGAAGGCGCGCGGCGTGAGCTCGCGTCCCCCGCGCCCCGCCGCCAAGGGGCCGAGACGGGAAGCCGACCCCGTATCCTTAGGGCGGGCGCCCAGAGCCCCCGCAGGGACACCCCTCCACCACCAGTTGCTCTTCTCGCGCCCCCTCCCACGGTGACGAGGCGCGGAAAGGCGCCTCGAGCCCTCGGAGGAAAACGCCCGGCGCGCGGCCCGCTCCTGGAAGGGAAGCGGGAGAGGTCCTTCAGGAGAGGAAGGCCGGGCGTCCGACGGGCTCTCTGAGAGCCGCGCGTCCTTTCCCGGCCCCTTCTGGGCAGCCCGAGGCTCCGGCCACCACCCGCGGCACAGCCCTTCCCCCGGCTCTCGCTCAGCCTGCCTGCAATCACTCCCCAAGTTCGAGCTTCCGAGTTTGGGGGTGTGTGCACCGTGAGAGGCGGGCGCGGGGAGCAGAGGTGGCGCCGAAGTGATGGGCCTCAGCCGGCCTCCTCGGAGCTGACCGGCCCTGGTGGCGCCCGGGAGGAGGAAACAGGAGGCCAGAGACCTGGCGCGTGATCGGGCGGCGGGCTGCCGCGGGCAGACGTCCGAGCCAAAGCCAGCGCGCGACGCGGGACGCAGTCCCCCCCGGCAGGGCGTCCCCGGGCCGGGCCTCCGGGGAAGAAGGCGGGGTGGCGAAGCAGGCGCGCACGTGGAGGCTGAGTCCCGCGCAGCTCTCCAGCCGGCAGCTTCCTGGCAGCGGGACCCAGCTTCCACCTTGGAAGCCGCTGCCTTTGGACGTGGAGTTGCCGTTTGGAGGGGCGGGGCAGCGGGGGCGGGCTCAGGGGGGCCTGCGAGCCAACGGGTGCCCGCGAAGCAGTCGGGTGGGCCCCCAAGTGGCGCGCTGAGCGGGGGGCTCCAACCGAGGCGGGACAGGGCCGGGGCAGAGGCCAAGGGCATGTCAGGGGCCCAGCAGGTGACCAGCCTCAGTTCTGCCCAGCGCCAGTCAGCAACTGGAGACAGGGGGAGGGGTAGGAATAAGAGCCCAGTGCCCCTGCCCCCGAAGCTGCCGCCCAGCCCTACTCACTCGTTGACCCTGGACCATCATGTCCTCTGACTGAACTTTAGAGACCCCATCTATATAATGGGCTCATCACAGCCACCACCTGGGGTACTGTCGGATGCCACTGAAATCATGGAGAGGAGGAGGAAGCAAGACCCGAAACCCACTGCTGTCTCCTGGCCCCAAACTCTGCCCAAGGGCTAGGAGGGCACATAACAGCTTCTGGGTAGCCTCCCCCCTCCCTGGCTTCCCTCACACATGGCCCTGGGCACCCAGGAGCTGTGAGCCCCCAGGCCGAACCTGAGGTGCTCTGCTTGTAACCACGTCGAGGTCCCAGGAGTCATCCCCGGTGTCTCCCTCTGCCTCCTCCCTGGCCCAGAGCCACGTACTTTCTACTTAAATTCATTTCTTAACACCTGTACTCTGCCCCCTGCTCCCTGCAGTGAGGGCTTGCGCTGGCCAACTCTTGACCAGGTCCCCGTCACAGCCCCTGAAGCCCTCTCTCCCTGCCTCCACCACCCTCCGCTCTGCCCTGCACCACATCATCTGTTTGTCAAAGGCTGGGGGCCTCCATACCTTCCATGGACCCAGGATGACAAACAGGCAGCACACACAGGGTCCCTGCTCGCACAGCACTCCCAGCTTAGCCACACGGGTCAGTAATAGAGAGGGAGACTGAACAAGATAACGCAGAGTGTGATAAGTGTCCCTTCCCTGCTTAAAACCCATCGAAAGCAAACAGCAGAGTTGAAGGAAAATGTACAGCAGATAAGATAATGCTCATACAAATTAATCAAAAGGTTAAGACTCCGGTAAATGGGCAAGGAACCAGAAAAGACCGCATGAGGGAAGAAACACAACTGGATACAGGACCTCAGGTATGGAGGGAAGGCAAATTCAAAAAAAAAAACAGGTGACAGGAGGAAACAAGGTAACACTTCCCACCTAGTACATTGGTAAAATGTTCTCAAAATGAGTACACCCAGTGCTGCCAGGGTGCTGGGAAATCAGCCTGCTCCTCTATTGCTGGTTGCTGGAGGATTCTCTATTTGCACGGCCCTTCTGGAAATTAGTTTGGTAATATGCATCCGGAGCTAGGAAGAAATCCACACCCTCTGGCCATTTCTGGGAATCTGTCCCAAGGATCTAAGTAAAAGAAGGCAGAGCTATGCACCCGGGATGGGCACCACAAGATGGGCAACAAAGGCTGCCAGGACGCAAAACCCCTAGAAGGCTGACGCTTCGGATAATTAAGTTCAGTGCCACACAGGAAGATGAGAAAACCCAGGAAGTACTACTAGGGAGAGGACAGGTTGCATGCAGCTAGGCCCCCGAAGGGGCCTCCAGTGTCCCTCTCCTTCCTTCCCTCCCAGGCCCAGCGGGCTGTCAGCCTGGGACTCCTCTCTGGCTACAGCCCACTGCGTCCTGGCCTCTGGGATGAGTCCCGTTGCCTGCATCCGGAGATTCAGGGGCCTTAGGGAGCTGGGCTGTGCCCTCCCGCTCCCCAGCCCAGGCCTGCCTCCCTCTGCAGCCTGTTCAGATTCTGCTCCTTTTCCAGACCTCCCCCCTGCCAAGGCGCCCTCCCTGAGCGGCCTTCCTGTAGCTTCCTTCGACTGCGCCCCAGGCCCAAGGCCCCTGAGGCAGCAAAGCCGACTGCGCCCCAGGCCCAAGGCCCCCAAGGCGGCAAAGCCGGAGGGCTGCAGATTCGGAGGCTGTGGCCAGAGGGGGATCCATGCACTCCCCCTCCCCCACTTGTGTGCGCTGCTCCAGGGCAGGGGCTCTGTCTTCTGTCCGGTCCTTTCCCTCACATCCTAGCTCCCAGAGGCAGGGGTGGGCTGCCCCCGGGACATGGGCCTCAAGCCCCTGCAGCTGGAGGGGAGGGGGACTCTGAGGCAGGCCAGGCTGAAACCACCAAGGCCTTCTGCGGTGTGCCCGCTGGAGTGCCTGGCTCAGCTGACTTGTGGGCAGCGGCAATGCTTGACCCGGAGGTGGAGGGGTGTGGGCGGCCAGCCACTCTGTCATGGGGAGTCAGTGTGGCTGGACAGAGAGTTGCCGACCCCTTGGGAGGTAGGAGCTTCGGAGGTGCCCAGGCATGCTTTTTGGAGAGGGATCCCTGGAGGAGGTGAGGGGAGCCTGGCTGGAAAGAGGAGGTGGGGGCGGCCTGGGGGGTGGGAGGCAACGTCAGCACTGGTGAAGGGAGAGGAAGCTTGGCTCCAAGAAGCTCTCCCGGAGTAGGGTTGTGCCCGAGCCTGTGGCTCCCAGCGCCTGAAGAGTGGCTCCCCTGCGCCTCGCTCCGGACCGCTGCTGGCAAGCCCACCAACCAGAAGAAAACGATCGGGAGGAAGGGCCGTGTTCAATCTCGCAAGTGAGCACTCGGTGCCCGGCGCCAGCAGCGCCCGCTGCGCCAGCAGCAGGACCAAATGGAACCTGTTGCCACCTCCGCACTGCGGGGCTGAGCGCAGCCAAGCCCCCCCACCCCCGACCCTGGCCGGGCCCGCCCGCACTCGGGGCTCCCCGTAGCACCTGCTCTGGGCGCCGGCCCCGCCCCGCGGGGCTGGGAGCGGGCTGCGCTGGGGGAGGCAGCGCACTGCGCCCGGCCTCGGCCTCGCGTTGGCCCGCACGGCGGGTGGAGCCTGGCCGCGCGCTCGCGCGCCGCAGGGTAGGGGCTGAGCCTGCCGCCCTGGCCCCGCCGGGCGCCCCCTGCCTCTGCCCGACCAGGCCAGTGCGGGGACGCGGAGGCCCGTAGGCCCGGCGCGCGCGCCGTGCGCGCCCTTTGGTTTCCGGAGCCTCTGGAGAGCGGCGCCTCGCCTCACCCTCCACCCCTCACCCCGAAATGCAGGGTTCCCTCCGGGCCGAATGGCAGGATGTCGGCTGTCGCGGCCCAGTCACATGGCCAGGAGCTCAACTCCCAGCGACAGCGTTCCTGCCAAATCCAGTGTCTTTTCCACCAAATCCACTTTCCGCTGGGGATGGCTTTCTGCTCTTCCCGGTCGGTCTCCTCGCTGGACTGGGAGCTCCTCCAAGGCCGGAGCGGGCCCCAAGCTGGCCCCAGCCCCCAGTGCAGGGCCTGGCAGACGCCTGGCGCTCCCGGAAGAAATGCTTGTTAACAAAGAAGGCGTGAATGAATGAAACCAATTGTTGCATGAGGAAGCTGTTTCTCTCCGCGGGTCACCCCCCCCCCCCCCCCCGCCCCACGGACACGCACGGGCACACAAGCACGCACAGCCGTCCCCTCACGGCAGAACCAGGCGGGCACACACTCTGGGGCGGACTTCTGTCCTCCGGAGCCGACCTACTACGTGCCTGCTTGGCAATTGGAGTTCCTTTGGTTCCAGCTGGGCTGCCTCCATTTCAGTGCCTGCCTCTCCCTTCCTCTTCCCCCAGCCGACATCTAAGTAGGTGCCTTGCACCCCAAGTGCCTTCTTCATGTCTTACGGAAGAGGCCAGGCCAGTCGCTGGGGAGACTCAAGGACTGTTTAGGGAGGCACCTAGGGGGCCTCAGAGCGGTGAGCTGCTGCCGCCAAAGGGTAGCCAGCCGCACCTGGCAGAGATGCCACCGACTGCTGCAGCCTGTAGAGCCCTCGTGCCAGGCGTCAGGGGGTGGCGGTGGGAGGGCCTCAGGGATGTGCTGGGGGTGTTGGGGGGCTATCAGCGATGGGGTTGGGGAGCGTAAATCCAGCAGGTGTGCGTACATGCTGGGGTGTGTGAGTGTGCACGGGGTGAGGGGAGTGCTAGGGGTGTGTATCTGGGGAATGGGCCTGGCTGTGGGGCGTGGGGAGTCGGCAGCTGGGGCAGGAGTTAGTTTCGGGGCTTCACTCAGGGGTAGGTGGACTGCACTGTCTCTGGGCTGGGAACGTGGGTGGAGTGTCTGTAATGAGCATATGGGGAGTTGGAGATGGTGGCACCGTGAGGGGAGCTATGT